AAAGGCTTCCCTGTGAATTCCAACATTTAAGAAAGAAATAATATCAATTCTACACAATCTCTTCCAGAAAACCGAATGGGGGAATATTTCCCAACTAATTTTAAGAAGCCTGCATTACTCTGATACAAAACCCGACAAGACATTACAAGAAAAGAAAACACTACAGGCCACTACCTCTCATGAACACAGATGCAAAAATTCTCAACAAAAACCTAGCTAGTCAAGCCCAACAACAAAAAGGATAATATATCATATTAAGTGGGACAAAGCTAAATATACACTTATCATACAATCCAGCAATCCCACTTCTAGCCATTTACCCAAGAGAGCTAAAAACTTATACTCCACAAAACCTGTAAGTCAATACTAATAATGGCTTTATTCATGACAGCTCCAAACTGAAAATGCACATGTCCTTCAATTGGTGAATGGATAAACACAGTGGTAAATCCACACAAGGGAATACTATTCAGCAATAAAAAGGAATGAACTAATGATGCATGCAACAACACAGATGAGCCTCAAATGCATTATGCTAAGTAGGTATTATCAGGCTGTCTCAAAACGTTTTTCTCCCCATACGTAAACGGCTTAATGGAAAATAGGCAAAACAACATGGAAACAAGATTATTCTGTGAAATACAGTCAGTCTGTTTTGATGACATGACCCATGTTTATTATACAGTTAATATATAGGTTCAGTTGTTATAACCACGACTCCAAATAACCGGCCTACACAAGCTAGAAGTCTATTTCTCTGACATGTGACAGTCTTGTCATACGTTGTCCTGGACAGGTATGCTGTCAGCAACATAGGCTTCTCCAGTGTACTTGCTCTGGAACCTCTAAGGCAGTGGTTCCCAAACTCTGCTACACATTGGAATCACTTGGAGATTTTTTAAAACACTGATGTCTGGCTCTCACCCCAGACATTCTCATTCGACTGGTACATGGTGTGACCTGGGCATTGGGATTTCTAAAAGCTCCCTCAGTGATTCTAATGTGCAGCAAAGGTGGCAATTTACTACCCTAAGGAATTGCTCACACCCACGTGGTCCATGATGGCTTACCACCACACCTGCTTTCTAGTGGGAAAGAGGAAGGAGGTATGAACCAGAAGCTGCACACATCATATCTGCTCACCCTCACTGGCCAATCACATGGACATACCTGGCTGCATGTGATGCTGAGAAAGGTCATTTTATTTCAGTCAGCCATGTGCCCAGCTAAAAGTTCTTTTATTAGGGAAGAAGAGAAGGACACGTATTGGGAGATAAACAGCAATCTCTCCCACCACCACCTCTTTTTTTTTTTTTCAAACAGCAGCAGTCCAATCCGGCAAAAGTACCAATCCTTGGATTTGGAGACAAAACTCACAACAGGCTCCTCTGACTTTATCCGATATCTTATATCCGCATGGAAACAGAGCCAGAGATTGTAACAAATCATTGTCTGAGGGAGGAAGATCCAAGCTCAATGACAACATATGTGGCAGAATGTCAACCCCAGCAAACTCTGAATTTTCACCTGTGTCAGGTGCTGGAGGGGTAAACTGCTCTACCGACCAAAGGCAGGCAGCAATATCAAAACTCCATGCACACGCTCCAGTTGACTGAACACACTGAAGTATTCTCAGCACAACAATATAGAAAAACCTCAAAGGAAGGGGTCTTCCTCTAAAATCCATCAAATATGTCACGTTGGGTCTTACATCATCTCATTGAACTACTTGTTGATGCTCTTCACTTTAGACACGTTTGCTGCTGCCTTTGCACTCAAGCTTTGTTTCCCAGAAGAAATGCAGACACAATCCAATTTTAATTTCATCCTCATGCACCTTGGATACTGTAGATAGCCTAAATGAAATAAAACATAAACATATGAACTGACAGGTTATCTTAGAAAGT